GCACATTAAACAAGGAAGACATTAGATACCCAACATTAATAAAATGAGATAACACAAAAGACATTTGTTCTGTAAATGAAGGAACATTTGCTGATATTGTTTCAGGGTCAGAGATATTAAGCTTTTGAAATTTAGCCAATTTCTGGAGAGCTTATCACACAAACCCTAAATAATTTCCCTTTTTGTTTGGGTCTGAGAGGCGTAGGGGTCCAAGATATGGCAGAACAGGAGTGTCTGGTTAAACTAAGCCATAAATTTTGCATGCAGCGTGCCTTGACAGCTTTTTTTAAACCTATTTTACTTATCTTCTTTGCTAGCCTTTTATTCTGCTGGACTCTCTTCATTAGTTGTCAAATTTCTAATCCTATTTTACACAGGCAGCTAGAGGCAAAACAGCAGACAGCAGCAGCAAAATTCATGGTTAACAAGTTTATAGCATGAAGCCCACAGTGGCCCAGTTGCACATAGGTTTTTCTGGCCTTGAGAGTGGGGCTTTCTTGTAGATTCATAGTGCTATTTTAAGCATTTTTGTGCAAGGGGATGTTAAAGGCAGAATAGACTTTTTCTGGAGGTGGTCCCTTACAAAGGAAAAAGTAAATGAATTAATAGAATTATCTTCCATACTTCAGTGATGCTAACAAACACACCTAGGTCTTATTCTAAGTCTTAACATTTTTATTTTATAATAAATTCATTGTTTTTTTCAATACTTGATCCTTTTGTACAAAACGTGATACAAAATCCTCTGTACTGCTGTTCCAAGTATTTTTATACAGAATACAAAAGTATATATTTGTTTTCCTGAGTTAGGTGCTCCTAAAAAAATTCCAATCATGTCCTATGGCGGTATTAAAATATTTCATCTTCTTGAATTTACGAGCAAACTATATATTCTCCTCCTGGCAGGCTGTCTGACCTACCTCATTCTTATCCATTTTGAAAAATACGCACTCTAGGCAGAATGTTCACAGTGATGTAATGTCTGTCTCTGAAAATACTATGCTTGGAGGTGGCATCCTTTGGAATGACCTATGAAAAATGTCAGCATCTATTACAAGCCACCTACCATATTTGAAAGAAATTTCCCCAAGTTTGTCTAAACTGCTTTGTGTAGAAGTTTTATGCTGCTGTTTTCCGTCATCATCTGTATTTTTTAAAATTGTTGACATATTTAATAAATAGGAATTCAATTCAGCCATCCTTGGACATTGAAATAGTTTATTTTTTCAAATGACAGTTATATCTGCAACTGGAAAACCTTCTCCACAACAGCCTTTCACTGCATCTGATATTCTGATATTCAAGGAGCTTCTTTAATGTATGAATATATAGGTTAGTCTCTTCTCCACTTTAATACTTGACATCTCTTTTAGAAGTATTAGAAAAGGTATAAATTGTATTGCTGATTTTTAGCATGCTAACAACTCTCAAATGAAACCTAAACTGAAATTCTGTTTAGGCTCTGTATTGCACATCCACTCTAATTTTTAATGTGAGACTGGGTTATGTGGTGATGTCAACACTGATACCCACTGTGTGCTATTGCTAAAGTAAATGTAGCTTTGCTAACAATGAGACATTAAAAAACTCAGCAAAAGTATGCCCTGAACCTAATCAGATAAGTTCTGACCTATCCCCTATGTCCTGCAGCTTGCCCTGCTTTACATCTTATCCTTTTATAAACAACAGCTTTTAAACTTTAACTTCAGTTGTTAATAACCTGAACTATGCTTGAACCAGCAGTTGAAGTTGCATATCGTATGACCTCTCCTTTGCACTAGCCAGCCACCCAAGGCAAAGAACTTGCAAGATGTCAGCCCTGATTACTTGCTGCAGTCATGTCAAGCAGATGTTTCATGAGGGTGAAAGTCTGAGAAATGTTACCAGTGCAATAAATTAATATCTTCTAAGGGTTATGTTTTACAGAAGTTATGTTCCATAGGAACCATAAAGCATAGCTGAACAGGTCAGTCAGCATGTATTTTTGTGCTGTAATCTGCAGCTGCAACTGTTTCTGTTCACTTTTTAGCACTCTTCAGTGTTGGTGTTCTATAAATCAGGCCGCAAGTTGACAAGGAGTGCACATGCAGCCTAGACTTTTATTACTTTTGTTACTATCCCTTTGGACAGCAAGTAAAATCTTCCTTGCAAGCCAGTCAGTGCATTGGGATACTCAAAGCACTGAAAGTAATGTATGAGGAACTAAAAAAATGCTGTTGGCTGCAAAGTCTACAGAAGGGAACTAGCTCATCTATCCCTTGAGTTGCACCAAGGATTAATATGGGCCAGTACACACATTTCTGAATGAATGATTCTTAAATTATTGGAAGTTTGTAAATCTCCCCCCACCCCCCACCCCTGCGATGATTTCCAAACAGGTAATAGGTCAAGGTTGAACTATTTTAGATAACTCCTCTTTTTTTGTTTGAAAACTCTGTGCAAAGTCAACAGAGCAATTTAAGGTGAAGCAAATCTGAAGTTACCTGGGAAAAGTGTTAAAATACATGTGAAAACTTAAAAAGATTGTGTTTTAAAGCCAGAATCTTTCCTGCTGATCTACAGGATTTTCTTCCTTCCCTGTCAACAGAAAAATGTTACCTACAAGAAGAACAAGTATATAAGTGATATAACACATTCCCAGTGTTCTACAATCAATTTCTATAGCATTATTAATTCAATTGTGTAGCATTTCATAAAAAAACACTAAGATATTTTAACATTTCTTTCAAAGGTTAACACAAGAAGTTCTAGTGGTGGGAGCATATTTTACCTACATTGTATTTGCTTATTTTTATAGGAAGGTGTCTTCAGTACATTTATCTGATTCTGAAGGAAGAACCCCCAGGAATTATTAAAAAATATGAAATTGAAAATTGTAAAAAAGTTAATACAATATTTTATATCTATACCATGAGTAAAAATTTCAAACATATCTGTTCTACTGAGCTAAGTCTCATAAAAAATGTATTGGAATTTGATTCTGCAAATGCTTATATTCCTTTGAAAATCAGACATAGAAGCATACTGGCCTGCAGGGCACGGCTTTGCTACTGTCACAGCCTTTCTGTTGCTCCACACTGTGAAAGTCAGCAGAAGTAAGCAGAAAGGCTACTGATAACCCTGCTGAGTAAACTGCATATAATCCTATGATTGCAACCAGAATGAACAGAAGTCCCAACTCTCTTGCTTTCTGTGCTTTGGGTGAATGTGCAACACTGAGGCCGATACATATGTGAGGGTTGCGTAGCACATAAAGATCATAACTGAGGTAGCTGCAATTGCAAAGCTTCAGTAGGCTTTATAGAAGACTTGACATGCATATTTTAAATACCTCTAAGAACATAAAGGAATGGAGGATGCAGCAGACAAGAATAATAATGTATATTTTACTCAAGCCAGACACATACACAGCTGGAGGTTTTTTCTTAATACAAATAGCAAAAATATAAGCCAACAAAGTAACTATCTGTGGTCTTATTAGACTTATTATCATTTTAGTGTTGCTACCTCCAAGTACTGAGGAAGCAATTTGCCATCCAGTTTGTAAAGGAAAGGATAATTTTGGATAATCACAAGACTCTGGCTTCTGGAGGAAAACTCTGAAAAGTGTGAAATCTGTGATAATATAAAGAGAATTTACAAAAATATATAATATGTAGATTTATTAGACTGGTATGGAATTCTTGCTAAGTGGCAGTAGACTCTCCTTGCATTGAACTGGTTTTGTTTCATTCCTAAGCAAACGGAGGTCTTGATAATCTCATCAAAGAGAGACCCAAAGCTGGCAAACATGACCAAGAAGAAATCTGAAAAGGCTGTCTTTATCTTTCACTGAGATGCTGTTTCATGACAGAACTGTTCAGAATGAAATGTCAGTAATGAGACTGTATGGAACACTGTTGACTACCAGGTTACAGAACAGGTCCTACAGCAGAGGGACTGTCATATCATCATGGGCATCACTCTTTTCCCATTGCTTTCTTTTGAAGAGTAAATTATTCAATTTTTTGTAGTGAGTTAAGGTTACTAGATAGTAACTTTTTAGGTAAAGTTGCTGAAAGTTCTTCAGTAGAGGAGATTGCAGTTGGAAAATGCATTTTCATGAAAATGAAGTGTTTTATAGAAATGTTAACACCAGCACAACCCTTTGAAGGGAAATAAAGGCAGTCAAAGCAACACCCCATGTTTTGACTTGATACTACTAAATGTTCCATTCAAAGAGTACAAAAGACATTGATTTATATTTCTAATAGTTACATTACATTAATATATATTACCTGTTTAATGTTAGTATATTGAAAAAGAAAATTAATTAACCAACAAGATGTAATTCAAGGAAGATTTTTTTTCCCCCTTATATCAGATAATAATAGTAAATCACATCCTATTTCTTTTACGGAAGTTCAAGGATCAGTGGATGTAACTAGTTCTCAGCATTGCTCAGTTTCAACACGAAATTTCTTATGACAAGGGAGAGTTTAATTGGGAAGGAGCTGGTCTAGATAGCCTACCAAATAGACTAATGGACTTTTTGCTGATTTATCCAGAAAGACTTAGTCCATAATTACTTTTTAGCTAAGAAATTGTTCATGCACATATCAGGAATACTTGGCTAATTGTATTTTCTGGTAAAGATTTTTGTTATATCATAGCATATTAAAAGGGAGGTACTCTTTGAAGTTGTCCATGATGCATGTTCAGTGGGAATTATATTTTTTGACATAAGTATTAGTTATAACTTGTTGTTTCCAAAACATAATTTGGTCCTCTTGTTCCAGAAGAGTGTGTGCTTATGTGCATATGGTGGGCATATGGCTGTGTCTATGAATATCTTTGAATTACTAAAATGATGTATGCTTTGAACTTTTCATCAGTTTAATTTTGTCTTTCATAAAGAATGTGTCAATTATAATTTCTTTTTAAGTGAGTGTTTAATTTGACTAATTGACAGCTGGCTATACTAATTGTGATTTGATCTGGTTTTTGTTCTGTCTTTAAAGGAACCAAGATCTCGATAACCTCATCAAAGTAAATCCAAGTTCTTTCACAAGTGATAAGGAGTAAGTCTTCAAAGTTTCTCAGGCCCTACTTTTCTAAGGCAGTGAGTAGTTTGTAACTGTGAGAATGTCAGGAAAGGTAATGTTGCAAATCTGTAAAAAGTTTATAGATTAATAAGTAGCATCCCTTATACTGAATGATGAGTATAACAGTACAGATTAACTAACTGACATGCGCGCTATCAGCTGAACAAGAAATATCTATGGCAAGCTTCCATACATGCCTTATATGCTTCCTCAACAAAATTATTAAAGAAATATTTTAATATCATTAGAGAAGGGGCATTAAACAAAATATTGCAGAACTCATGGATGATAAGTGTTGCCCCAACAGGGTGTAACAAAGCATTTCATTCAGCAAGGGCAGTGATCCATAAAGAACAGCTAGAACTTACATTTTCGAACAGCACATCAGTTCAGTGTGTTTCAGGCAAAGTATCTTGTGGTCCGTAAGCAGCCCTTCAGCATATGGAAAGGGAGGATCTGCCAGTGTACTGTGCTAGTAAGAGCTATGTAATATTTGTCACACCTAACACTGAAATTCTACAGATAACTTCAAGAATAATGTTCTAAACAGTAGCAGCACATAAATGTTGCTAACGTGATCATCTATTTTACAGTAGACAATCTCACATATATGTATACATACATACATATATATTTGTACACTTAGCACTGACCTGTAAGTTGAGTCTGATTTTTTTGCAAATTTTAATTCACAGAGAATTTATTAGGGTAGAGTCCAATACTTTGAGACACTACTGAATTTTAGGAGACATCCAAAGTTTTAAGACTAATAAGCCTATTATGGATTGAAGTAAGCAAGTTAGCAGCTTCACAGAGCTTAGTCTTTTCCTTTTGCTCCCTACTTCTACCTAAAGGGGATCAGGGTTTTTTATGTTAGTTAGAGTGCTTTTCATAGGTCATACCATTCTCTAATTTGCTAAACCATTTTAAAATAATTTTTAAAAAATCCAGAGGAAAAACTAACCACTAGTGTAATTGTATTTATGAAATTAAAAAAAAGTGTTTCCTTCTATGTAAACTTTGCGAGTCTTTAGATGCTTACTTTTTCAGTATAAGTACAGACATAATCAACGCTTTAAGTGTTAACTATGATGACACATGGAGGTAATTTCTTATCATTCCAAAAGCAAAAATATGTGGACATTTGGACATATTTTTAGGTGTTGTCTTAAGAAATAGAAGTTTCTTAGTTTAAATAAAAATATATTTTTTGCAAATTAATGATGCAAACAAGCATTAAACTGCTGGGAGCCTGTAAATGAATACTAAGTTCTTTGAAAGTTCATGTTTCTCCTTCACTGTCTTGACTGGCAAAGAACAGTCTTAAACTACTGCATTGATACAATTAAACAAAGCCTTTTTATTTTCTTGGCTGTACTAGATAATATTTTTTATTTAATTGTACAGAACTTTACCATGTTACTGAAAAACTGTAAACATATTTTCTTATTATGGTCAAACCCATAAGTATTTGCAAATTTTGAACATAAACTTAACTAATGATTTACTTTTTTCCCTTTAAATGTGTGCATAAATATATTTCTTTCTTTTACTACACTTTACCTCTTCCCAGATAGGGGGAATATTTTAACAGTTGTATTTGTTTGTTGTTTCAGAGGAAAAGACCTTGAGGATTTTACTGAAATAAATACTGCTGGTCAGAAAAATAAGAGGCAAGGCTGTCATAATCTTTCCCTTATATATTTATAAAATGTTTGTAGTTGGTTGGATATTAGTATTAGTTCTGTTCTGTAAAGATCATTAGAGGAATCAAAACTAATATTTTTATTTCATTTAAACCATAGAATTTTAACTTTTTAAAATTCCGCATTGAATACAGGCTAGTAAATACAAATAATTCAGCATGGAAGAAATGCAGGTAGTACTTGACTTTATCTTATTGCAACTCTAAACAGTCAGCGCATGAAATGCTTCATCAAACTGAAAATTGTCCTTTAAATACAAAAGAAGAGTATCATAAATAAATTAAAAACCCCTCTTTTTTCTTATTATCATTATTCATTTTCAAATGAGAATCAATGTGGCCTTTTTTTCATCTTAAATAATTCCTCAATGGATAACATTTTTATTTTTAATTACAGGCCATTTATTATAAAATATTAATGTAAAATTATATTAATGTATTATATAGATGCCATATATTAATAAGTGCATTTATTATATAAAACCAGCTATTTCACAGCCAGTGATTTATGAGTTACTAGTATAAATGTGGTCATATGGTCCTAAAGATTGTATACAACCCTAGATAATAGTAGCTGCAACAGGAACCTGGGCTGGATGTAACGACACAGCAAATAACACACTTTGGCAGCCATTTCCATAGCTCATGGTGCTGGTGCCTGTACTGAATGAAATTATATTATCAAGTTAAAATGATAGAGCCATAGTCAGTTTAGAAGATGTAGGCAGGCCCATCACCTGTGGCATGGCAACACAATGCAACACAGCGGTCATAAATTGAAACAAGAGAGATTCAGACTGGATATAAGGAGGACTGTCCAGCAGTGGAGCAGGTTGCATGGAGAGTTGTGTCATCTCTGTCCTTGCAGTTTTTCAAGACCCAACTAGAAAAACCCCTGAGCAACCTGGTCTGACCTCAGAGCTGCTGCTGCTTTGACCAGGAGGTTGGACTAGAGATCTCCCGAGGTCCCTGAATTCCAGCCTGGATTATCCTACAATACTGTAATGAACTTAGCATTTTTGAGTAGTTTGTCATTCTTTTGTAGTGTCACACTGTAAAGAAACTGAAAAATATTGAAGTTTGAACTGATAACGCTTACTTCATAACTAACTAAACACTTATGACATGAAACAATTGTGATACATACTCAATGTAGTCAGGAATCTTCCTTGTGAGATGCATATAATTTTTTTCTCCTTCAACATAAGTAATTCAACTCATTTAATATGTTTAGGTTGAATAAAATAATTTGATTAATTCTGAGGTCTTTCTCACTCTCACAGAGCTGAGGACCTTGGTGATCACACTGAAGTAAAGTCTGCTGATGACCAAAATAAAAAGCGGTGAGACTCAATCCATAGTTCTCTAAAATTTAAAGAGCCAATATCAAGAGTTGTAGCTGTTTAGTGTGGTACTAGAAAATGTGAATTCCTTATACAAGCAAGCAGAACTTGCATAACTTGAGTAATATATCTGTATTATTTCTAAAATGTGCCTGATTAACCAAATATAACAATATAGCTGCATGTATTTTGATGACAAGCAATGACTCAAACCTAGTCTTGTAGTGAATGAAAATGCCTAGTGATAAGATTTTCATAAGTATTTTTGTGTTTATCTAGGTATTTTGTGAACTCAGCTGTTAGCATCTCAAAGAGTTATAAGTAAATGCATTCCTAGTTTAAAAGTTTCACTGCTACTAGGTTTCATTATTTGCAAAAACTAAGAACCATTTTGGTCAATTAAAGTGAAGTTAGTATTACGCTTTTAGGTACCATTCTGATGGTGTCTTTTTGAGTCTTCCATTTAGTTGTATATCTAAATGAAGAGGAAGAGCAACTATCTGTATACATAAGCAGTTTTGCTATTTTTTAATATAAAATATTTTTATCCTAGCAGTCCCACTTGACAGTCTGACCAGAGAAGCACACACTGAGTATCTACGGTGAATGAGTTTCTTTTTTAGTTCTGAAAGGGGGCCTGCCAGATTACCAGTCAAGCACAATAAAGGGTGCTGCTTCATGCAGCATGCTATGCATATAAAACAGTGACCAGCACTGAGCGAGGTTCATTTAGCAAAGCTTCAGACCTTGGCAAGCTCACTGAAATGAATCAAACTGCAGCCCAAACATCCAGAGTTAAGGCTTATAATCATCAAGTTGTTTCAGAATATAACCTTTGGCAGAACCAAACAAGAGCAGCCTTTGTCTGAGCTGTTTTGTAAAATCATCAAAAACATTATTAGCACTTATTCCTTAAATCCTATAATTTGTCTGACAAGGTTTATTTTTATGTTTTGTTGTATGTCATGTTTGTGGCAGGGAAAACTGCAGGAGACAGGGTTTTACTGGAATTGTAATCCTGCTTTTTGAAATAAGAGTCTACGTATCTGTTTAGCTGGTCATTTCAAATAAAAACGTAACTAGTATATATAAAAAAAGAAAATTTGGAACTAAAATACAGCAAAACCAAGAATAAAACACTATAGAATACTGCCAAGAAAATGCAGAATGCTATCAACCACTGAGACTTTACTGCACAGTTGAAAACCTCAGTGGGCACTTTGAGGAAACTAGAGTTCTGTTAAAGTTAGATGAAGTTTCTGATATGAATATATCTACGAGCATAAACTAGAGGACTTATAATTTTAGGTCAATGATTCCATTATTCTTCACAAGCAACAATTTAACAACAGTAAGAAAAAGATAAATTTCTTTTGCCTACTGTTTCTAGCTCAAGCTTCTACATTTATGTCTGTAAGTGTAACTAAAAGCTGTGTAGCTGAAAATTATTTCTAAAAAGTGTTTATTTTCTTGTTGTATGGTTTCTTTTTTTAGGATAACTGAGCAAGCATACGCAAATCCTTCAAGGGCTCCAAATAATCTCCCAGAAACAAACTACTCCAGTGAAAGAAAGACCAGGTACTGTGGACAATTAAATGAGCCATAACATCTAAAGTGCCATTTCTTGCAAAAAACTGAAGAGAAACCATCTTTATGCAAGAAATTTCAGGGATGTTTAGAAACCTTACACTGGTCTCTGGAATCACACCAGTGCCCTTCCAAACTCTGCTTCCAGGATCCCACCCACAGAAGCCCACAAAGCATAGCTGTAATGCACAGAGTGGGGAGCACGAGCCGTACCCTGTGTAGCTCTAGAGATGTAGCTGAGGCATGGAATTTAGGAGAGCAGTTAAACCAGAATTCTTATATAATCAATAGAGGAAAGGCTTCTCCTGCATGTTAGGTACACCATGCTCTCAGGGAGCTTATTTCTTTCCGAGGCTGTAAGGAAAACATTGCACTCTTCACTCAAGTGCCTTGTTAAGTTCCTAAAACTATATGGGATGAATCTCACTCATGTATCATCTCCTACACCAATCACTGAAACTGTAACATGGGTTTCTGACTTTTTGACCAGGTACAAACTTTTAAAAACCATTTATCTCGCAATACTCTTGCTCTAGCTGGATTCTGTCTCTACAAGCAAATGTATTGCAAATCTGAATAAAAAATGTGGTGTAGGGATATTTAATAGAACTAAATAAATACCAGGTCTATTGATAACAGGAAACTATTGAAACAAAAGAAACAATATTTTTTTCTTCACTGTCAAAATGTATTTTCAAGAAACATGACAACAAAAAATATAATATGTAATTCCTGAATGAAAGACCTTTTTGGACTAGGAAAACCTCTCTTCAGTACCAACCCACCCATCTATGTGGATTAATTAAATATTAATGTAGACGGGATTGCTCAAAGACATAGTCCTATACGTAAGGTGTTGTATTGCCGTATAGTGGTCGCGAACTGCCTGAATCAAGGCTGATGACTTGGAAGGGAGAGGAGAAATCTTCTAATAGGGAAATAGACTTACTAATAGGGAAAATAGCAGTCACGGTCTGGTACTTTATGGGAACTATGGCCAATGTCCCAATCCTTAAGTTTATGCACACTCAAGCCTTGGTGTGGGTATGACTGGGCACAGAGCCTTTGATCTCTCATTTTCTTACATTTGCTGTAGGAGGTTGGAGTGTGGTTGAAACTTGGGTATTCTAAAACTTCTGCATGGCCTTGAAGGCCAAGGCCATGAATTGGTGGAGAAGAAGAGAAAATCCAAACAGCATACAATTTTAAGACTCAAAATGAATATTCAACACAAAAATTAATTAGCATTTTGCAGCATTTTGCAGACATACAGTGTCTGAGGTGTAATGTTCTGATTATCTTTGAAAATTAACATAGAGTACAATAATACAAGAATGGCAGGGCAAAGAATGCGCTTCAATATGCAGTGCTAACTTACACTTGACAAAATGTATGCCCCCTACCTGAAGCTCTAATCCCAATTTAATTCATGAAAGCTTACTAAATGAATGGTCTTTGCAGGTTATTCTTTCAGGGTTTATGCAATAGGTTCTACAGAGTATTTATTGTTGAGTAGTTTGCTGTATAAACAAGTCACACAATAGCAAGTAAAGGAGTGGGTGATATGAACTGAAAGAAGGGACTTGATCAGATACGCAGTTCTCGGGCTGCATTGTGGCTCAGTTTTAACTTAGTGTCTTGTCAAGCTGTCAGACTATGCATTTATTTGAAAAGGTTCTGGGTTTCCTCACACTTTCAGTTGGCAAGACTAGAAACTGATGCTTCAGGAATATTTTTGCTGTAGCTTTGTGATTTTGTTCTATACAGTATAATATTTTTTTTTAAAGATGTGGTATTTATGTTTGTGTATTTCAACCGTAATACTCTAGCCAGTTATTAAAATCCAACGGATGCTGTTCTTTACACTAGGACACTTGAGGAAAGTATTTTTCTCTATACAATGTTCTGTAAGATAAACAGTGTTATTTTCAGGCATGCTACATCTAAATACCCACATTATGTTGAGTGTGCAATGCACAGTACTCACTTTGCCTTGATCTGAACCCTGATTTAACTAGATCATTTGAAGTGTCAACCTGACTCAGCACTAAGATCCTGCAGCTAAATACAATGCATCAAATGGAAGATTCGGGAAAAATAAGCTTAACAACAAAAAGAAGCACACACAGGCCCATACTTTACAGGAATAGACAAGTGATATTCCTATGCCACTTTTCACTATAGCAAGGGACTTTAGGCACCATCAACATACTCCAACCTGTGACATGTGTTGTGCACCTGCCTAGCTTGGTCAGGGCAAAAGTAGCCAGAAAAACTCTTTCAAAAGGTGATCACTTAGCTTCAGTCTGCTTTCCTACTTAGTTAGCTTACTTTCATCTTGCCTGAAATGTAAATGGAGCACTGGGTGTTCATTTGAGGAGATACTTTCTCTGTGGTGAGCAAACCCAGGTTTGCTACATTACTATTAAATAAAAGCATATTGCTATGTTCTATGAAACATAAGTAAAACATTTCTCATTTAAGCTTGTGCAATTTTAATACATTTCTGGTGTTGAATAGAAATCTAGTAAGATATATACACATTGTAAAAGGCAGGTATGTAGAAAAGTGTATCATCTGGGCTGTGTAACATGTTACATATGCATGTTACCAGTCTGTTATACTTTCCCTTAAAAAAAGACATGTTCTGCAGATACATATGATTATAAAAAATTGTTGCTAACATTGCTAAACATTATTCAAGAGCGATACGAAACATGTAATAAGCACCATATACCTTATGAATTTCTGGAGGAATAGGATAATTAAATCAGTTCAGAACTGTTCAAAACGTATAGCACATGACTTCTTCAGCTGTCACATACATGCTCATCCCTTCCATGCAAACAAAACTGACAGTTAAGTAACTAGAACTGGGACTGTTAAAAAAGGAAGATTTGACTTCCCTTATAGTTAAATTCAGTATATTCCTTCCTACTCTGCTAGAAGGAACAATACAGTTACTGTAGTAAACACATATCACACATTGAACAGCCTGTATTATAAAGACTCTCACTCTGCTTCCAGGGATATGTTGTAATTTTGTTTGGCTGTTTGACAGCTTTTCGAGGACTAGTGAAAGAAGGGGGAAAAAAGGAAAAAATGCAGTGTGTTACCATTTCCTGATATGTATCATTTAGGCTGGGATATCAGCACAGGCAAACCCAATACCATCATGTAGATTTTCTTCAATGAGCTTGTGGATTTCATTTTGAAATGTTGAAGAATCATTCAACAACAGCACACAGTCTAAAGACACTATATTTCTAGTTTATGCTTTTTTATTTGATATATTTTTCTTAATGGTTGTGAAAATACAGAAAAAGAACTCATCACCAAGTATGATGATTTTTTTAAAAGCTTGTTACATTAGTTTAATTTGCATATTATCATCACTGTAGTGAAGCCTTTAAAAATAAAAAGTACTGTTTAGTGATTGCTGTGCACTCACTGCTTCACAGCAAATCATCATATGATGCCTATGAAGAAAATATAACTGGAAATACTATCAAAACTGTTTACTCTACTTCTGATCGGTAAGTACACATTAATAACATTGTAGAGTATCAAAGGACACAGACATTTTGCATAAGCGTTCAAGTGTTCAGACAAAAGGGAGCCGTGGAAGTCACCATTAGGCTCGTCAGACAGCTTTTCATACAGAGCTCCCTTTCAGTGGGATCTTGCCATCAAATCATTACCACAGTTCAGCAGCCTAATATTACATTAGGCTTGTCACAGCTGACATTTTAAAATATCTATAGAAACAATAGCCAATGCCTTAAGTGATAGAGTTGGCTCTGCAAAATTTCCTTCCTTTGTGAGAATGGTGTCTGTAATGACCAACTTTATGTACAGCTGTGGAGGAATAGGTTCACATGACAATGCTGTTAAAAACTCTTATGTTTTCACACCAGTTAAGATATTCCCAAATATAAGGATATTTGCTCAATCAGTAATATCTTACCTCATGGGGAAAAAAAAAAAAACAACATACCCAATATTTTCAGTTCAGATAATTTGGACAGTCCCATTACTTGGAAATACCAAATCAGAAAAACTTGTATCCTTTCCAACATAACTATAAGGAACTCTGGGAATGATTAAGTATTAGTACAATAGTTTTACCATCGAGTAGAAAGGAGCAAGACCAGTTGATTTTGTAGTGCAAAACCAACACCAACAGTTGTACCTAGAGGAAGTACAGATTGATGTCACATAAGAATGCAAAAAAATCTGAGAAAATTGTTAAAAATACTGTTGTTATGAATACTAGGTAGGCTGTTCTATACATGTGTTCACTATAACTGCCATGAAGGTAGGACTTCTGTCTGCAGTGCAGAAAATTAAAAATGTTTTCAGGCACTTCTGCAACATAGAGGGGAATTCTTTTATCAGACTGATCAAATGACAGCAGTTTAAATTCAACTACCAATTTACTTTTGTGATTAAAACATTAAAATCATCACCCTCCACTTCATCCCCATTTAGTATACATGCTCCCAGACATTCAGCAGCTTAATACAGTCTCATTTACTGTTTGAAATCATTCAGTTCACCAGAGAAGAGCATTCTTTCTATCAAGGTATTTTTGCTACTTGACAATTATGCTCAGCAATTTGCCCATCACAGGAGCATGTATATTACACCTGTCAACTAGAATGGAGGGAATATAGACATGACATTTTTCCATTTATGGCCATTGTGCAGTATACAAATGTCTTTCCCACGTAGTGCACTAAGCTTATCAATTTTCTTGAGATTTCAATGGTAGCTCTTTTTCTGACAGCTGATGTTATATTATATACACAGGAGTATAATTGGAAAAGATATATGTACATACTGCAGGAAGCCCTTGGGTATAGATGCCAAAATGATCTTAGATGCCTTGCAAATTTGCTGTCACTCGACTTGCTTCAAGGTAAGAAGATTTCACCTGCTACTAAGAAATATAATTTGAATGTAATACCTGCATTATATTACACATACAATAAGCAAATATTTAGGCCTTAGGCCTTCTCCACCTGGGAGAAGAGGAAGGCTTGCACACTGGAGGAGAAGATTAATGTAGGAAATACTAGTCTCTGTCTCTCTCACCCCTAGATAATTCCTTCTTCTTTCTTTCCATCTCTCTCTCTCCCTGTCTCCCTCTTTTCCTCTATTCCTCTATTCTCCCTCTCCCTGCCTCTCCTCTCTTGAAACCACAAAGAAGATAAAGGATGCAGTGGAACGTACCCTGAATGTCCTACACATTTATAAGCTTTCATTAAACATGCTTCCAGTCTGATATAGTGAATTATATCCTACTTACACTTTCTTCAAACTGTAAAATTTCGTGCTATTTCTTTTTTTATGAGGTTTTGTAGATGTTCTTGATTAAGTGACATCTAAAACCATGACTTGTGCAGAAGCCACACTTAAAGGCATTAGTAAGAGGTATTTAAGCCATAGAGGTGAAATCATTTTACCCACTGGCATTAAAGATTTGGTTAAAATTTGGGTCTTATGGATAGTTTCTCCTGTAGGATAAAATAGTGTTGAAATTGGATATGTCTTTGCCTCAGTCTTATTTATTAAAAATTATGTAATTTTTTTTCCTGTTTCCAAGAAGAATGAAAGCACAGAAGACATTTTTTTTGCTTGTCATTCCAAAGGCTAAGCCTCAGCCTAAAACTCACTCTTAAACTTTTCTCAGGGTACACCTACCAGTGCTCAGTCCTCTGATCTGTTTTCTTTATGCCTCGTTTGTCTTAATTCTGCTTGCATCTCCACACATAGTTTGTTGTTCTAACAAACAACACTTGGCAAAATCATCACATTAGCATAGCTCATTTTTCTGCCCAGTATTGCATAGTTTTTACTTCTGCTTCTGACAGCAGTTCATTTACCTAGTTTACCTAGTTACTGCATGAAAAGTAACCCAAAGCAGAATACAGCAGTAAAGTTGTACTTAATGTGTAGGAAGTTACGTATGCTTTTTGTCTCACATGGACTTTGTGAGCTCTGTGAGCACTAGAATGCAATTTATTCCATGGAAATCACTATGTAATACCTCCTCAATACTATTATTGCAAGTAAATACAAGCTCTGGTTTGTTCCCATTCTTTTTAGATAGACCAACCCCCAGAGAGGAATGGGCTTTTTATGCAGTTAGAGTATTAACATGTAGGTATTGGCTGAACTATCTGTTAAATATTTAAGCTTATTTTTTAAATTACATTCTTTTTGCTACCTATTCCCAAGTGGGGATCTGTCTGGCCAGCAAAATTTAGCTTAAGTTTTGTGTAACTACACATTTATGAAAGCACTGGCAAAAAATTAAACAACTAATGTAGGTCTGTGGTTCATGCTTGTAGTTATGTATTTAGCTAAGTAGTGCAGTTTCTCATCATTAATATTCATTTAGCTCCTTACAAATACCCTATATCCATTAGAGATTTGCATGTAGCTGACAGCAGTATAAAGTCTTTGTTTCCTTGTAAAGTTATATACCAAAAGTTCAGTGAGTACATAATCCAAATTGTAGGTTTTTTCTCTGTATAAAAAATGCTAGCTAATCTTGATGAACAAAGTTTTGAAAACACGTCCATCCTTTTGCCGATTTATGCAAGGAAACATAAAATGAGTGAAAAGAGCAGACTCTTTTATTAGTACCTTAATACTAACAGCTTATGTAGAAAAGATATAGAAAAAACATAGTTCTGTAAAACTGGGGGGGGGGGTGGTGTGTGTGTCTCTAGTACTCTAACATGTTACACTTATCAACACTGAGTGCTCAGTTGCAATTTCATACTAGCCCTAGTGAGCATGTGTAACAAGGCAATTGCATATTGTCTGGATCCTGGATCTAATAATTCACACTGCCTTTAAATCCATGGTGTTGATAACACACAGTTTCTTTATTCATTTAGCTGCAAAGGGATGTTCTGGGTAAGACTGTTAATTTTTAATTTTAATAAAGACTTTCAGTCCAAATTTATCTGAATAGACAGCCATTGTGAAAATTATGGAAAGGCTTACAGCCTTTCTGGAATGGCTGTCAATTCAGTTACTGAATTGCACTGTAAAAGTAATGCTGATTTTTCACTTATCAGAGGATGAAATATCCAAAGAAACCAGAATTTGCTATTCTTTTATTCGATTGCAAAAGAGATGATGCGGGTGTCAAGATTCTGGTTTATAGATCGAATTACATTGCTCCTTGATCCACTGTAGGCTGTCCTTGTGATCTTGGGAAGTCAACCTCTGTGTGTATCTGTGTGTTTTCATATGCGAAACATGGGAGATGCTTCTGTCTCTCAAAAATTAGCTTATTAAGACATTTATGAAAGCAGTGTCCAGATTCTGCAATAATGGCAGACATAGTTAAGATAAAGTATCATAAAAGATTTTGAAATAAGCAGGTTTAGATTCTTTAAGACCTACTCCGAGTTGGATGATTAAGTCTGATCTTGCTTCCTGTACTCAATGAAGAAACAAAAGGATCTCAAAAGAGTGATTAATCTTATCTGAGAATAAATTTCTAAGCTAAGGCAGAGAAAGTACCCTTTGGAAATGTCTGGGTGTAGAAAGGGGTTGGTGAGTATAATAAGAACCTAGAGAAACAGTTGAGACTTAGATATCTGATTTTTAGATGTCTAAAGGTGAGCTCTTTAATTTACTGTTCATTAAAACTACTCTGTTTCAGAGTTCAGATTTGATGATATTGCAGTACTCATAACCTCAATTCTGGTCTGGCATTGCTTACTTCCTGAAAGACAGCATGCTGGGAATGAATATTAGAGAAGGGTTTAATTTTAATTTTTCTTGTTATTTTACTTGTGTGTTGAAGTGTGAAGTATGTAAAAGACCACTGGAAGATCTGAAAGCAGGAGACAGCATCTGGATTTACAGACAAACTGTGCATTGTGAGCCTTGCTATTCCAAAGTTAAAGGTAAGATTCAAGATGTATTTTACTGAACATCTGAAAAACAATGTAGAGAGCTTCATTCAAATAACTTCAGTATATTACAACACAGCTATTGCTTTTGCTCATTTCTGTATACTTAAACCTTTCCAAAGTATTTCATTCAGTAAGACTAGGTTGCCTAGGATGATATGCAACCGCAGGTTCCAGACACAATAATTATTCTGTACCTGTGAGGGAAATCTCTTAAGGTCTCATTGTAATCTGTAGAGTCCTACCTGTGTGGTCAATAGAGACACCTATAGCGAGGCAAGGGCATCTCGCCCTGAAAGTGACAAGAATAAATTGAAAGGCCATCTGAGAATCAGGTTGTTCTACTGAAAGGAGTAAGCCAGGGTTCAGAGGTATTTTCACATTATGTAGCCATTGTGAACAATAAAGAGAAAATACAAAATCTATTAAATCATAATGAAAATATTATACTGTGACTACCATTCTTACCTTTGTGAGGAGCACAGTGGTTAAACAAATGTGCAAGGCAGTGAAGAATGCAACTTTTGTTTTATTAATTTTTCTAGAAGTTGCTAGATTTTAAGTCTTCTCTGTTCACAGCAACTATCAATTCATAATACTATAAATCAGTACCTCTGTACCAAATAAAGACAAATGGAAATGTAGATTAAATGTTCTGATAAGCTGGTGTTCACCTATGTACTTCTGAGATAAGATCATGTTAACTACAATTATATTAATCAATTTGTTTTGTTAAAATACTTTATGGTATTATTCTACTGCAAAATTTGATGGAAAGAGTGAATTTTACAATTAATCAGATTATAAAATTAATAAGGCACTGTGACAATTATAAAACTGTAGAAAGACATACCAATGGTCTGTATATTAAGCATTATAAATTGACATATACTATTTCAGCAAATGACAAGATGGGACAGTCAGACTTCAGCAGACTTTCTAAAAAAATAAATTGATCTAAAATTTCCTTGTATGCCATTTAGAGAATACTGATTTTCTTGGCATATCTGATCAATCTTTTCTCTCTTGCAGAAAAATGGATCTACTAATTCTGACATACAGAAAGCATGACAAAGAAGTTCCACTAGTGTTTAGCTAAGTGTATTGGCCTGTTAATTCAAACTACTATGGGAAATGATTCATTTTTATTGCTAGGAACAAATAGTCTAAATGCAGTCCTACTGCATGGTTTCCAAAGGAATTAATTTCATGAGAATTTAGATGCCTTTTCATACACACATTTCAGGATACAAAACAAGATATTGTTCAATACATTCATCAGATCTGTGAAACTGCTAAACTGTATGCAAAACTAACAATAATTTATTGAAATTTTCTGAACAGCTAGACATACCTGCACATATGTTTTGAAGGGGCTATATTCTCTTTACTGAAAACACATCTCCTCAGGTATAAAGATCTGTTATCTTTGAATAGCATGAATGGGATTAATCTCATCAAAGATTAGTCATTTAAAAGTCAGCTATTCAGTTTAAACTACTATTTTCACACAGAGTGAGGTGGGTTCACTCTGCACCTTTGAGGAGAGAGATCAATCTCCAGAGGAAGATTCATCCCAAGTAACTTAAATGGTAACTTTAAGATGGAACAAAGAATCTTTGGAAAATGCATCTCTATTACTGCAGAGGGATTCTAGGCAAAAATCATTAGAGCATTTTAATTAACACTCCATGTTTGTAATTCTGGTAACTATTGTATTACCTTTTTTTTCCCCCAGAAGTGCACACTTAATAGTTGCCATGAATCATGAAATACATACTTTGCATGACATTATGTTGTTATATTTATCTTTCCTACTTTATTAAACTGACTAGTATCTAAACACCTTGGATGGATTCATCGTGCCTAAATTTAAACATCTATGTAGACATCTACTTCTAAGTTACTTGATCTATTCTGTCTTTACAGTCATATAGAGAAGTAGACATTTTTAGGAAGTGATTCAATTGGTCAGATTGCAAACATCTATTTTAGCATGATGTTAAGCATGCTCTGAATGTACGTATTACTTTCCATGGTTTGCAAAGGAACCTGCAGTGAATAGTTCAGGTTTCTAGTCATCTACATTAGGCCAGATGATAGATAAACTCCTTCCTTTGAGACTACAGTGAAAGCATTTTTTTTTCCTTTTGGACAGCATATGTGTATTAAAGTATACAAACTGAAAGAAGAGTTCATGCTTTGTTATAATATGTTTCCACAACACTCAATATTTACCTGTCATATTTGCCTAAAATAATAAACAGTTCAGTAGTTTACTGGACAAAAAAAGGTGTTGACTACTAGTCTCTGCCATGAGATGTTTTAGATCATGGTTATTCAGAACTGATTTTATTCCCTGACATCTCAGCTTAAAAGGACTTCCTGGATATGACCATGACAGAGTTAGAGTGGTCGGAGGCTGCAGGACCTGAGCAAGAGCTTAGAAAAGTGAAAAGTGCCAAAGCCATAGATTAATATTAGACTATTGAATGGCTGGCTGTCCCAGCCAAACTTGCTCTCCTCATCTGCACATTCAGTAGTGGAGACAGGAGGTATAGATGTCTGTGTAATTTAAACCATTGGGCCTGTAGCTGAATAATGATGTAATCTGTCTTGCCTGGCTTAAAAGATGTTCAGACTGATACGCAAAGGAGATGTGAAATAGTAGATAGTTTGTTTTGTTAGTTTTATGGAAATTTCTTATGAATTAATGGCAGTAGCTTTAATGAACCTGTTATTATAGATACTTTTCCTGGTATGTGTCTCTTGTTGATGACATATTCTAGTTAAACTATACTTGTTATTGCCCCGTGCTTCACCGGGAAACAATGAGACTTGCACAACAGGTGGAGAGACGTACTGGTGAAATTTTAATGTTTGGGTCACAAATTTGCTCCTGTTCAGAAGCCAACAGTTATTGCTAAGGCTCAGTTACAATGGAAGATGTTAGATGTTCACCTGAGCCAGCACATTAGAATCCAGGACTTCCTAGTGTTTGAGGGGATGAGAGGTTTTAGTTCACTCCACTAGAGACCAGGAGCAAACCCTGGATCCAAATATCTGCTAGTTAAATTCTCACTGACAGAGAAGTAGCAATAAGAAACAATAAATAATAATTCTGTGCTCCTTAATTCATCCTTGCTGAACAGCTCTGGTAATTTTGCCATGTGGTTTTTTGTTATTTTTTTATTATATATTGTAAGTTTGCTGAAAAGAAACACCGGGTTTGTGATGCTTGATATTTACCATATAAAAGCCAGCATGGCAGTACTCATTAAAAAAAATCATATTAACATCTCAATACCAATGTATCAAAACTTAATTGGTTTTTGTCCTTTTTGCATATCATTAGCATGTGGTGTTTTATTTGTCTTTGACTAGTGCTTCCATGAAACAATCCAAATGAACAGTTTGCTGGCAGCTGGTTTAATGAACATGTTATCTTCAATAATGCACTAAATTAGACTGAAAAGCTGTATTGAGAGATGATGTACTAAATTATGTGGGGTTTTGTGATTCATCAGGCCCATTTTTTCAGTGTGTAATGGATACTTTATTTTACAAAGCTGGGGCATAGCTCTACAGCGGGGAGAATCAAGCGATAAGAGGAAAGGAGTGAAATAATGCATATAATACATATTGATGCATTTAAATATGTAGATGGCTTCAAAGCTACTGGTATGTACAAGAACAAGGAATGTCACAAGAACAGCTTTGCTGTTTTAATATATTCTCTTGTATCCTGTGTAGGTTCTTATTGAATGCTCAGCCTGAGCATCCCCCCGCCCCAGCAGTGCTTGACACAAGGTGACAAATATCTGTAACATTTTCCTCTCGTTCTCTTCCTCTTGAAATAAGTATCTCTGTGAGTTTGACAAGACATGCTTTCCCTTACTCCTTGGTATGGAGATCCATGTCGTGCTGGGATAGTTTCATGTGTTCAGTTTATTTACTCAGAATATATATAGGTCAGAACTCTGCTACTCTGCTTGCCTTCCTTGATATTTTAACATAACCCTGTTGTTTAGAATGAAGTATCCACTTTCCAGGTTGGTTTTGCTTTCTGATCATACTTGCATGTTGCTCACTGTAGCTACTCTGTTAACACCAGGAGGTGGTTTTAGCTTCCAGTCAAGTTGGTATCAGGCTATGAGAGAGAAATGTAGCCTTCTTTTCTCCCTTCTGCTGCACTAAAACACCTCGTTTTTCTTCACAGACATCCTTCATTCCATAAAGACAAAGGGTAAAGACACTTAATACTTAGGTAGGTTTGACGTGCTGAAGTCTGAAATTGCTGACCAAAATAGCTCTGTTTAGCTGCTTAACGGATGCAGAATCACTGAGGTCTTAAACTCATGAGATATTTCTTTCTTTGAGTTTAAAGGCCTACTGTCCTGTTTTGTGCTTTGCTTGGTCTGAGCAACTCAGGTCTAATCTCCTACATCAATAAAACTGTGACTTAGAAACATTCCTTGCATTTCAGGGAGGAGAATCTGCAGATACTCTCAAAACATGTTTGGCACACACTTCTAAGATCAGACCTCCTCAAAAACCTCCTGATAACTACTGCCTTTTAAAATCATGGAGGTGGTGTTCTCCTCTTTGAACAGATCAATGGCCCAGAAAGTGGGAGGGCCAAGTTCAATTTCCACCCCAATGTACCTGTGTTTTAACCAAGTCGTGTAACACAGTGGAACAGGCTGGTGTGTGGAATAAACTAGATGTTCCCATTAATGTTTTTGCCAAGTTCCCCGACCTGTGCAGGGAGGATCCTTATGGCCCACAGGATAGCTGCACTGCCTGCACATTCACTATGTGCCTATTGGCCCCTCAGGAATGACTGCAGATTAGAAAATATAGAGACAGTCCTGGAGCAAAGACCAGGTCCCGGAGTTTCTCCATCTCATCTGAGTGGCCCAATCCATAATTAAAAGCAGTCTGAATGATTCTCTGTTTATCTCTGTGAATGCTGTGTTCCTTTCTAGCAACAT